CCCTGAGAAACAGCAGCCCCAAAGCAAGACCAGGAAAAGATGCTTTTATGGTAATGCCTTCAAAGGAGGTGCCGCTGCCAGGGCTGTTTCCAGACACCAGGACTATTTCCAGACACTCGGGATGGTCATCAACATCCTTGTTGAATTTTGGGCTCTAATGCAAGAAAGCTGCACCTACAAGAAGGGCCAGAAGGAGCATCCAGAGGACTACTGGCCCCTTAGCCTACCCTTGGCACCAGGGAAGGTTGTGGAGCAGATGATCTTGAGTGCACTCACAAGGCACATACAGGACAACCAGGTGAGCCAGCCCAGTCAGAATGGCTGTAGGAAAGATACATCCTGCTTGACTAACCTGATCTCCTATGACAAGACAACCAGCCCACTTAGGGGACATGGGAAAGGTTGTAGGTGTTGTTTACCTGGACTTTAGTAAAGTTTTTGACACCATTTCCCACAGCATTCTCATGGAGGAACCACCTGCTCATGACTTGAATGTGTATTATATTCACTGGATAAAAAAATTGCCTTTATGGCTGGGCCCAGAGAGTAGTGTGAATGCAGTTAAACCCAGTTAGTGGCTGATCACTAGTGGCGTTGCCCAGGGCTCAGTTTTGGGTCCAGTTCTGTTTAGTATCTTTATGGACACCCTGGATGAGGGGATCAAGTGCACTCTCTTTGCAGATGACTCCAAGTTGGGTGTCACTGTTGTACTAGATCTGCTGGAGGTAAGAAAGGCTCAGGGATGTGACCAGGCTGGACTGATTGGCCAACACTGACTGTATGAAGTTCGACAAGGAGAAATGCTGGGTCCAGCCCTTGGGTCACAACAACTCCCTGCAGTGCTCCAGGCTGGGGGCAGAGTGGCTGGAAAGCTGTAGGAAAGGACCTGGTGGTGGTGGTGTCAGTGGCTGAACATGAGCCTGAGTGTGCCCAGGTGGCCAAGAAGGCCAATGGCATCCTGGCTTGTAACAGGAATAGTGTGTCCAGAGAAGGGCAACAGAGTTGGGGAAGGGTCTGGAGCACAAATCTGATGAGGAGCAGATGAGAGAGCTGGGGGTGTACAACCTGGAGAAAAGTTAGACTCAGAGAGGGACTTTATCACTCTTTAAAACTCCTTGAAAGGAGGTTGTAGTGAGGTGGGCGTCAATCCCTTCTCCCGACTAAGAAGTGATAAGATGAGAGAATATACCCTCAGGTTGCAACAGGGGAGATTTAGACCGGCCATTAGGAAAAATTTCTTCATTGAAATGATTGTCAAGCACTGGACCAGATTGCCCAGGAAAGTGGTCGAGTCACTGTCCCTGGAGGTGTTTAAAAGGTGTGCAGATGTGGCAGTTTGTGGTAGGGTTTAGTGGTGGGCGTGACAGCATTAGAAATATGGTTGGGCTTAGATGGTCATAAGGCACTTTCCAACCTAAATGATTCAATCATCCTAGGAAAGATTTTGACCAAGCTCTGCAAGCTGAGCAGAAGAGGAACTAGATGGTGAGGGGCCTGGAGCACAATGAAGACGAAGGCTGAGGGAATTGAGCTTGCTGAGAGTGGAGTAGAGAATGCCTTCGTGGGAGACATAAAAGCACCTGTGGTGTGTCTCTGCCATTGTCTCATGTGCTGGATCGTTCTATCCAGCCACAGACAGGTAGAGAAGTTTGAAAAGAGGAGATCACACTCTCAGCACAGTAGAAGCAACCCTGTGATAATGGCCACCACACAAGCATCTCCAACAACCCCTTGGATCATTCTGTGATGGCATATGCAGGGGAAAGGATGACACACAGGCAAAGGCTCGAATGCAGCAGAACTTTATTGAGTCAAAAGACGGAAACTGGGTAACTCTGAGTGCAGGGAGCACCAGGGGCACATAGGAGTCTGCACCAAGTAATTCTGGTGAAGATTCCAGCAGCTGTCCATCTGCCTGCCCCGCAGAAGCAGCAGGGCCAGCAGGTCCTCGCTAGGCTGGCTGTGAGGGCCTCACAGACCAGAGGAGCATAAAAGAACAAGGACATGGGAGGGAAAGGAGAGAGTAGCAGAGGGCAGAGGCAGGGCTGGGCCGTGCTTGCCCAGAGCCCAGGCTGGCCCCGTCCTTCTGCAGGGGCTGCTGGGCTGGCTCAGCCCCCCTGGAAGCAGCAAGATGATGCTCCACCATCAGTGAAAAACCATCTTGTGAGTCCTTGAGGGCCTTCCCCAGGGCCATGGGTGGCAGCTTTAGCAGGGGAAGCACCTCCTGCCACAGTAGCCACCACCAAGGCCAGAGAGGCCAAAGCCCCCGGAGTTGATGGGCACTCCCTGAGAGCTGAGGATGCTGCCAACGGCAGCGGAGGTGGAGGATCCCACGGCGGTGTTCTGTGGGAAGGAGCTGAGGATGGGCCCGGGCAGGGTCACCACCACGGGGGAGGGTTGGATGAAGACATTGGAGTCCTGGCACTGCCTGACACAGGGCTCATTGCAGCTGTTGGCCAGCGGGGTGGGCCCGCAGGGCTGGCAGGGACGGCACGGGGTGTAGCAGGACATGTCTGGGGCTGGAGCTGCACCTGAGACAGAGGGCAGGGGAAGCAGAGCAGAAACTGTGGATATGGAGCAACCTGTCAGCCCACCAAGAGTGAGGTAAGTCATGAGCTGGAGAAGAGAGCTGGGGACTGTGTATGGAGGTCCAAAGGTATCACCCTCCTTTCATCCCAAAATAATCCTGTTCATAGCACCCAAGCCCAGAGAGAGCCCTTCCTAGCCCATACCTCAGTACACACCTCACCAAGCTTCAACCTCTGATCATGGCACAACTTCTGCCCCTTCCCACCCCCTCCCCTCTCCCATGATAGCAGTTCCAGGACCCCACATAGGACTGGGGCAGGTATGAGCTGAGGTGCATTGGAGGAGGAGAAGGATGAGAAAGAGCTTCAGACTCACCTTGTTTCCAATGAGATGGAAGTGAGAGGAGTGGATGAGAGAGTGAGG